AGTTCTATTCTTTTTAAAACATGTACTTTACTATGCTCGCGAGGAATTTGTCCACTATGATCATTTCTAAATTTAGGGAAATTATTACCCAATTTAGACTAGCTCTTAACTATCATTAAATTTGGCAGTAAGAAAACTAAAATCACGTGAAGTCCTATTTTTTTGAAAAATTTTATTTGAAATTTGGCCGCGTGGCGCAGCAATAGGAGGTCTTTAGACCGAGCCAACCATAGTTATTATACAACTTTATATTAGTTCAAATTGCTATCATTGTAATACAATGTTTTATGCGCAGAAATTAATTTTTTAAAGGACAAAAGTATTTTATTGGTTGCATGTGACACTAATAAAAAAAATTTTTAAATTCTTTTGAGTTCAAGGTTAGTTGCATATTCATGACCTTTTGCTTCTGAATTAGCAATTTCCCGTGTCAAGTACTTCTTTAGAAATCTGGCTGTTGTTGATTCTTGAACTGTAACCCGTTTTTGGTCAATCCATCCAGCATATTTCAGCAAATTACATTTTTGGAAATTAGTATAAGCATGAATTAAGAACAATTATAGTCGAGATAAATATTTAATTTATTAATTAGTTAGTTATTGAAACTCTTAATTTTATCTGTTATATATATAATAATTCCAACCATCAAAAATATAAGTATTTTATCACCTGTATTCTTACTCTCTTACACTCTTATTCTGTCATTCTGTCATTCTGTTATTCTATTAATTAAAAAGAAAGAATTAATCATTTGTTGTACTGTTACATGATAAAAAATGGAATGTATTTTCAAAAGTGTGACAATCACGTGACAGTCACGGGTTTTATTTATAAATGGGACTGGCATAGAAAGAGCATAATGGAAATTTGAAATGTTACACTAATTTTTTATATTGTGAAACATAGCTTTACAATACACGGCAAACATTCTGGCAATAAAAAGTAAGTGATAAACTGGATTTGAATTGGGTCTGAACTTGATTCCCAATTTAGAAAGGTAACAACTATATACTGGCGAAGTTTCAGAAGCAATGGGTTCTGTATAACGTTTCATGTAACAACAAACTCTCACTATGCTCATAGAGAGAGTGTGTACATTTAAATAAACTACATCTTATAACAAAGTTTCCAAGGATATTGCTTGCGCTGCTGAATGCTACGTATGCTTGGCCTTTGGCAAATATCTTTTCATCGGTAGAAAAGATAGGGTCAACAACCCCTGTGTTTTGTGAACTGTCAATCAATGTCAATGAGAAAGGATTTGGAGCGGGTTTGTTTTCTGTAAGCTCTTTTGACTATGCTGTCGAATATTGGAAAGGTAACCTCGACATTCTCATCATCTATGAGTTTTTGTTACTATTCCAACTGTCCCATTACAAATACTTTCATAAAATGTATTATATATCGTGATAATTTAGATGATTTATTTATTTTTTTAAAAAGAAAACCAAAATAAGTTGAAATGATAACAAATTTTTTATAGTCGCGTGACAATTCGTTAATCTTTGATCTTTTTTTTTAAATGAAAATGAAAAAAAAATCAAAACCTGCATAAAATTCCCAACAATTATTGCAAATTTTGTTGTTGTGGCGCAGAAAGTTCAATTACTGAAATTGGTATTTTTTGATTACACCGATTTTATTTAAAAATGAAACATAGTGACATTAACTATATATAAATAAACAACTTTTAATAAAGGAGTGAAATATTTTTCTTTTTATAAAGGAGGATCATTATTAAATTATTTATATAAATACCACTTTCCTTATTTTTTATTTTTTTTTTATAATTATAATTATTAAAAAAAAAAAAATAATCAAACAAAATTAATATATAATAATTTATAAAATGTTTTCACTACCGGCCGCAAGGCAAATAAAGGATATGAGTACGTGGGGAGAAGCATGGGATAAACGTTTAATTGATGAAAAAGTGGGGTTTTATCCATATGAAGAATTTGATGACGTTAAGGAAATCGCTGATGGTTCATTTGGTAATGTCTATCGGGCTAACTGGAAAACCTCTGACAAAGTGGTCGTAATAAAGAGTTTTGGAAATTATAACCAAAATGCAAAACAAGTTATTAAAGATGTAATTGTCGAACTATTTAGATCCAAGTTTTATTTTTGTCGCAACCATTTTTTCTTTGAAAAATTAATCATTTAATTCTTTATTTTTGTAGTTAAAGGCATTGAATTGTGAACATGCAAATTTTATTCGATTATATGGTCTGACCAAAATAGAAAGTAGGCGCTTGTTTACATAATATATATCATATATTTTTATTTATGACATTTGGTAAAAATTTACTATTTTATTTTTAAATAGATAAAGATGAAGAAAACACATCAAAATATCTTCTAATTCTTGAATGTGCGAATGGTGGAACATTACGTCAATATTTAAAGGATCGGGTTCAAACTTTTGATTGGCATATAAGATTAAATTTCTCTTTACAAATAACCGGAGCTGTACAATTTTTACACGAAAAGAATATAGTGCATGGTGGACTTGTAATAGAAAATTTTTATTTTCATTTTAGTTTTCTTGGTCCTTCCTTTTTCTCTAAAATAAATTAATTTAAAAATTTTTTTTTTATTTATAAAAAAAATAAGCACCCTTACAACATATTAGTACTTGATGACAATATAAGAGTAACAGATCATGGAATTTCAAGGCGATTAACTAATTTTAATACTACAACAAATGTTGATAATTCATTAGTTCCTTATATTGATCCTCAATGTTTCAAAGTACAAGATGATAAAAATAAACCACGTCAATTCAGAATGAATATGAAATCAGATATTTATAGCTTAGGATTTATTTTATGGGAATTAACAAGTGATTCGCCTCCATTTTCTAATCGTATTCAAGTGGATAAAGATTTAAATTTAATATCAGAAATTTCAAGAGGTCTTAGAGAGAAACCCGTTCCTGGTACACCTGGAAAATTTGTTGAAGTTTATATTAGTAAGTTGTTTATATTATTTGAATATATATATATATATACATACAGACATATATTAGAATAAATATTAATTATAATTTTTTAAAACAGAATGTTGGCAAGATGATCCAGCCAAAAGAGCAGAAATTCAACAAACAGTATTTGCACTTAAAGCTCTAGAAATTAAAAAGAAAACATCTATGCATGATCAAAATTATCTTGCTCGAGACTTAGACATTAAGAATCGATTAAGTATCGGTACTGATATTAATTCACTCCGAAGTATGCTGGGACAATTGGCTTTAACACATACCACTGAGCCATCGATTTTTAGACCTAAACCTTCAAACTTGGATCCGTTGTTGATTGATTCAACCACAACCACCACCACTGCTTCAACTACGCTCAACACTCCTACACAACCAACTTCAGGACCGTCCGAAATAAATCCCGGGGTTTCAATTGAACCAGATGTCACCACCACAAGCTTTAAATCTAAAAATAATGAACCACCAATGTTTGAAAAAGAACAAATTCAAGTTTTTGTTGAAGAGCCAATATCTACGAAAACGACTGAAACTATTGATAATCATGTAATTGATTCTAAAAAATATGATTTTATTTCTAAACTGGAAAATAAACTTGAAATCCCCAAAAAGGAAATTCAAAAGCCATTACCTGAAAAACTGCCAGATAAAGAATCTGAAAACATTAATTCTAAAGTAACAACTACAATAGCCATGATGACTAAAAAATCAGAGCCCGATAAACTTACATCAGAGCCATCAAAGAATGTTCCTTCAACTCCTTCTAAAAAAGTCGAATCCTTGGCCAATGGTTTAAACCAAAAGATCTTAAAAACCGAAGAAGTGAAAATTGGTTCTGATGAGAAAAAAGTAAATAAAGAAGAGTCACCATCACTAAATAAAAAACAAAATCCTAATCCTATCAATCCTATTGACAATGTTGTTACAAAAGAAATTAAAAACACTTCATCATCAAATAATGGTGGTATATCAATTATTAAAAAAAGACTTTCATTATCATTAAATAACGACAGCAATAGCACAATTCCAAAACTCATCAAAGAACCTATCGTTAATAGTTCTTCTATTGCTAAACTTAAGTCAGACTTGGAAAACAATAGTGCAAACGACAAAACAGAGAAAGTCCCGTTAGGAAATCAGTCAATGAATAAATTAAATAAAGATTTTTCGTTGGTTAATGGCTCTTCAACTCCAAAGTCAGATAAAGAAACAACAACAGCGAATAAATTAAACCCCATTTCTGAATTTCAACAAAAAGAAGATACAGCGACACAGAATACCGATTCATCACTACTTCTTGGTTTAGGAAATTCTGTAAAAAATTTTAAAGATAAACTTGAGCCCCCTGCACCAACAAAGCCTAATCCTCCTTCTACAAAATCAGTAAAGAGTAGGAGAATAAGCATTTCATCAGCTAAATCTGACGATTCCTCTAAAGGAGATATTTATACACCACCAAAATTATCAAGGAGAATATCTATTAAAAAATCTGATATACCTACCAGGCCTGACTTTCCACGATTAAAAAGTACTTCACCGCCTAAAATACCAGATTTTACATTAACGATACAACCCTTACCAAAAAAATGAAACAGATTTGTCACAAATTATTATTCAAAGAACTGAAAGTGCCTTAACAATCAAAAGTTCTTCAAAATCTAAATCATCATGGATATCTGAAACTCAGATTAATTCCAATGGGACCATCGATGATATAGCTCAAACTCCAGTAAGAAGAAAAGGAAAATTTGTTCCTAAAAAATTTATTGATGAATTACATAGAAACGAGCAACATTATGTTGTGATAGTTGATCCTGGTTTAAAGATTGAAGATGGTTATGAACCATATGATGATGGTGTTAAAAGAAATGTTTTCATCAAAAATTCAGATCTTGATAACGTTGTTGGAAGAGTATGGCCTGGTAAGTAATAAAATTGTTTTGGTTTGAAAATTTTTTTTAAGAAAAGGTATTTTTTAATTTTTTTTTAACGTAATTTTTTATAGGTTTGACAGTATTTCCTGACTGGTTCAACAATGAAACAGAAATTTACTGGGGAGATATGATTGAGAAATGGTTGGATGGTATTAATTTGGATGGGCAAGTTAAAAATTGAATAATATCATCAAAAGTATTATTAATAAATATCACTTGTAACAATTAATAATTTTAATAAATATAAATTAGCATATGGATTGACATGAACGAACCAGCCAATTGGTGCAATGGCGAATGCGGTAAAGAAGATGGAGATGATGTTGTATTGAATAAACCATTATATAGAATAAATAATGGTGGATCTAAACTACAATTGAATACTCTGACGCTTCCAATGAATGCAATACACGTGAACGGTTTTACTGAATACAATGTACACAATTTATTTGGTCATATGGAAGCTATTACTACCCATAAAGTGTTAGCTGAAAGAATAAATAAAGGAAAACGACCTTTTATAATTTCAAGGTCTACCTTTCCTGGTTCTGGAAAATACACTGGACATTGGACAGGTGATAATAAAGCACAATGGGAACATCTATATTTGTCTATACCAGGAATACTTAATTTTCAGTTATTTGGAGTACCTATGGTTGGGGCAGATATTTGTGGGTTTGATGGTCCTACAAATGAAGAATTATGTTTACGATGGATGCAATTAGGGTCATTCTATCCATTCATGAGGTATAAAATATACTAATTATAATTATACAGAATGATGACAATGATAATATTAATATAATTTCTATTATTATAATAGAAATCACAATTCTTTAATGGATCCAAGTCAAGAACCTTATATTTGGTCTTCGGTTAAAAAAACTTCGCGTAAATATTTAAGTATAAGATATTCTTTATTACCATATATTTATACATTATTTTATGAAAATAATAAGCATGGTAAAATAATCTGGAGACCGTTGTTCTTTGAATTTCCAAACTCCAAAAGATCTTTGTTTATCGATAGACAATTTTTGTTAGGTCCAGGATTATTGATATCACCTGTGCTACAACCAAACACTACAACAGTAGAGAATGCTTTTATTCCAGATGGTTTATGGTATGATTTTTATACAAAAAAGTTATCATATAACACAACAAATCATAATGGTGAGAAAGGTGATGGAGAATTTGTTAACATAGAGTCGCCTTTAGATCATCTCTCTTTGTTAGTTAGAGGTGGTAATATTTTACCATTGCAATACCCTGGACTAACAACAAAATCTTCACGAAAATCAAATTTCTATTTAATTATTGCATTGGATGAATCCGGCTACTCAACCGGAAATCTCTATTTGGACGATGGAGAATCTTTGACAGTTGAACAAAATTATTCTTATATAAATTACAAAGTATTGGATCATGCTAATTTAATATCAAATTCTAAATTCTACGGTTACAAATTATCATCAAATCAAGTCATTGATAAATTAGTAATCATGAATGTAAAAATTGAAAATAATAATGATCATTATTTGGAAAACAAAAATTACAAGATTAAATTAATTTACAATAACATTGCATTAAATAATTATAACTATACATTATTCAACCAAACATTAATTTTAACGGATTTAAAATTATCGATAAATTCTTCATGGAACTTAACATGGATTATATATTAAACAAGTTAT